GCAGGCGCTTTGTCGCTGAGCTAAATCCCCAGCCCTCATTGACAGTTTCTTTCAGCAAAGAAATACAAGACAGTAGAACAGCCATGTTAACTATCCTGCATATACGTACATACAAACTTTCTCCTTCTTGTTTTCTCTCTTTTGGGGAAGGGTCTCACCGGGTAGTTCAGGCTCATCTTGAACTTACTATGTAGCACAAGCAGGCCATGAACTCATGGCAATCCCCCAGTCTCAACTTCCTGAATGCTTGGAGCACAGACCTGTGCCACCTTGCCTGGCAGATCCCTTTTGTTTCATTAATATATTGATGCCCTTGAACATTCTCTATCCTGCCTCCAAGAAAAACATGAACAATCAGTCCATCAATTCCTCTCTGCCTTCCCGTGCCCCTACAAGGATCCACATAATATGTCAGAACATGTGCACCCCTCTGATCAGGTTCTAGGGTCGGACTGTCTACTCAGGTCAGCACCTGGCATCACGGACCTCCTGAAGACAGACAGGTGTACTGGCAAACTACACTTGGAGAGAAGACACACTGACAATGAATTCCCTCTCTCCAGGTTCCCCGATTCACTAAACAGCTTCACCACTCAGAGCACCTCCTCAGGAAATTAAGACACTGCCATTCTCTCCAGTACTACCCAAAACCCCAGAGGAGTGAACACCAAGGTGTCTTTCTAATATAAGAGGTCCCTGGAAAGGGGGATTTGTGACCCCAACAGGGCGTCTGAGTTCTGAAGCACAGAAGGAGGTGAGGAAGGGGTGGGGAGAGGGAGGAAATGTAGGGATAAAACTCCGAGCACTGATGGGAGGCTGGAATAGAATGACCTCCACACAGCTCATATAGCAGTCATAACTTTCACCTACTAAAGGTGGCGTTTCACTACCTGAATGGATGCAGATGGACATGACTACAGCCACTGGAATCATAATCATCATGACTGCCCGAGGACAAACCTAACTGCTTTTTCCTGTATGATTTCTAGGCCAATCATAAGTAGATGAAGCTCCTAGTGTGGTATGTGAGGTTTTACAGCCAGAACGAAGCTCCAGCAATGTCCCTGACCCTTCGGTGCCAGCTCACCTTAAACCAAGTCAGTTCCAGCTAAGATGAAGTGGATATTGTCCTTATCCATACATATGACTCCCTTTCTGACCCAAATTGGAAGGACACAACTAGTCTTCTTGGCCCACAGGACCACACCTCAGCTTGTCCATAAGTCCTCCTATAAATACACTCTGTGCAAGCCTAGTCTACCTGCTTTTCCTTACTTGTATGGAACGTCAGGGCCTGTTCTCACACAAGGACGGAGTTGTTCCAGGTGCCCATAACATGCCCTCCACCCTCTGTCTGAGGCCTCCCCTGCCTGCTCACACATGCAGAGTCAAGTCCCCTCAGGCACTGGGGGAATAAGAGCAGAAAAGTGTCCATTGAACAAGCACCACAGAGACAGCAGGGTTCCCTGAATCGTGGCCTGGGCCTGAGTGCCTGAACCACAACCACTGGAAAGGTGACAGTTCAGC